ATCCTTGAGGGACTCAAACCGTGTTCCTTTTAAATATTCTTTGAGCTTTGGGAACAAAAAGAAGTCTGAAGGAGCAAGATTAGGGCTGTGGGGTGGATGGGGTAAGGTTTCCCAACGAAATTCTTGTAGGACAGTCCTTACTATCCTCGAAGAATGAGCAGGTGCATTGTGGTAACAAAAAAATTCCTTGGTGCAACTTTCCTGGACTTTTTCTAACTAATGCAGTTTTCAATTTTTCTTAAAACTTCTTCATAATAAGCCGTCGTGATCATCCTGTGTCCTTTGAGAAAATCTATCAAGACTGCCCCTTTGGAATCCCCAGTTGCCATAAACTTCTGAGTGGTCTTCCCTCTTTTGGCTCATCTTTGAGGTCTTCCCGACCTTCCTTAAAACGCTTGATCCATCAAAAAACTGTTGTTTTATGTGGGGCAGTATTTCCATAAACTTGTTGCAAAGCTTCAGTGGTTTGGGAAGATGTTCACTTGAATTTTGTTAAAAATTTAGTATTAGCCCTGACCTCAAAATCATTTTATTCCATGGCACAAGGAGTATCCTTTCTTTTGAAGGTACCCTAATAAGATTAAGCCAAGTGTATTACTGAGAGTTTGTATGCAGCCGTCCACTGATCAGAGAGACATGTTTAAACACATTTTGTTTGAAATGAACCCGTGCATGTATGAACTGGAACCCTAGCAGCAATACTTTCTGACTTACCCTCCTATTACTAAGGCCCTATTGAGAGATCAAGGGAGATTTCCTCCTTTATCCTAGCTAGGGTAATTAAAAGGACATTAAAGTTTAGAGGATGGGTAGAATTTGAAAATTTGCTGTTAAAGGGAAAGATAGCTCAGACAAAGGGCATCACCAACAAAAACACCGAGCCAGGAAGGCATAGAACATGTTCAGGAAACGGACCTCATCTGATTAAAGCAAAAGGTAGGTGAAGGTAAGGGGTAAGAATTAAGATAGGAAAAGTAGTTCGAGACCAGATTCTGGAGCATCTTGACTTTATCTGTCCTCTGTAGAGAATCTATTAAAGATTTCTGCACAGGGTTAGACTCTAAGAGTTCTTTAGGAAGATTAATTTAGCAGTAGGTTGTAGGACTAACATAATAAGGAGAAACTGAATGTGTTATTTCATAGGAGACAAAATGGTTTTGTTTCACAAGATGTTAACTCCAGGAGAGAAACAATGGAAATAAAAAGGAAAAAAAATTTCAGAAGTAGAATCAATTAGTTACCAAGACATTAGCTATGTTAACTGTGAAAACATAAGCATTTGGCTTTATGTCTCAGTTACACAAGGCTGTGAAAAACTTTAAATTTAGATGGGACTAATGAAGCACAGCAGTCCAGGGACAAGCACTAGAAGGCAGGAGGGGACACGAAAGCTGGTGATAGGGAACCCAAGGTTGAGAAAAGACAGTGTGGACATGTTGTGGGGTTGTTAACCGTTGTCATAGGGCGATGTGTGTACTGTTTAATGAGAAACTATTTTGTTCTGTAAACCTTCAACTAAAGTACAATATATATATACATATATATGTGAGATCAAATTGACAGCAGCAACTCAAAAGGTTTGATGAGAAGCCTAGGGGGCAGTGAGTTGAAGATAATGGTGATAGAATAATTTGGAAAAGGATAGTGAGAATAGCAGCACAACTGGAAGACCGTAATCGATGTCACTGAATTGTACGTGTAGAAATTTTTGAAATGGTGTATCTTTGGCTGTGTATATTTTCCCCCCCAAAAAAAGGTCCTCCAAGGACAAGTAGGGAGAGTGTTGACATGTTGTGGGGTTGTTAACCAATGTCATAAAACAATGTGTCCTGTTTAATGAGAAACTATTTGTTCTGTAAACCTTCACCTGAAGTACAATTAAAAAAATTAAAAAAAAATGTTTAGAAACTTCATTTGGTTAAAAAACCTACTGTCATGCATGCACACACACAAATACACATACATACATATAGTGAGAACATTAGAAATAAAGATCTAGAAAATAAAGTACAGGTTAAAATCAAGATAACTCAAGACGACTATAGAAGCAATCAGCAATTTATTGTTTAGTGAACTTTTGTCTGATTTTAGTGTTTACTGAACAGTTACACACATAGAAATTTAAAACAGAACCCTCCCCCCCGCCCCCCACCTCGTATTCCCTTAAAACTGCTTATCACATTACCTGGCCCTGTTAAAAAAGATAATTTTTTGCATATTAACAAGTGGGCAGCTTCACCCTGATTGGTTGTCATTACAAAGCTTCCATTTGACCCAATTAAGAAAAAGTCAATCTTTAGAGAATTTAAAAAAACATATGACAAGAAAAAAGAATGATCATTTTTAATTTCTTCATATACATCAAAACATTAGGCTGGAAGCCACAACTTCTGTTTTCCACAATCTTCTAATCTTAGCAGCTCCTGAAGCAAGCGTCTGAACAAATAGATTCTCTGTATCCCAAAGTACTTCTAGAATTCTTTATGTTAATGATTAGAATAAGAATCTTGAAAAGCTTCTTACACCAATCATGCATTTTCAGGGAAGAATATTCACACACAGTAGCACACTGATTTGAGGAAAAATAAGTCAATGATTTAAGCTCTGGATCTGCTTGTTTATCCGTAAAATGTAGTGTTGCTACACAGTCTCTAAGTTTCCTCTGACAATACAATGCTGTAATTCTATCTATGGTGTTGAGTACCTACTACTTGCAAAAAGCACTATGCTACCAAGTCTTGCAGTTAAATTTTAACTGCCCTTCAGGGCAACATCAGAAGTCTCTTACTCAGCCTCTAACTTTTCAATGGACTCTGCACAGCAAATAACTAGCTGTTTGACTTACTCTGCATTTCCATTTCCACAGTCCAATTTGTAGCTGCTAGCCACATGTGAAGATTGAGTATGCAAAATATGGCTAGCCTGAAATGTAATGAAAGTGTAGAATACACAAGGGATTTTGAAGATTTAGTATGAAAAACAGAATGCAAAATATCAATATTTTGGATCTACTGGATTAAATATTAATTTCACATTTTTTAAATTTTGGCTATAAAAGATTTAAAATTCTGTATGTGGTTCATGTTGTATTTCCATTGGTCTAAACTCTGAGGACCCCATACACAGATTACCATGACCTCTCCTACTGGTGACCACAAAGGCAGAATAATCAGCAATTGTTCACATCACTCTTCTTGTAATTCCCCTTTTCTCGCTATGTCAGTGTCTAGCCAACCACTGTCTTCATTATTACTTCACTATGAGAGGTGGGAATGATACTTATTTTATTCTGAATTTTAGATAAGGATGATGGTGATTCCACTCCAAGTCTTTCCTAACACCCATTTCCTGACTGGTGAATATAAAGTGCCTCCAAAGGTCCAAGTCAATGATTGACCCTCCTTTTCTCAGATGTTGTCTGCCCTCTTCACTACCAGTGATGCCCCTTCCTTTAAAACAGGGCTGCTTTTGCTCATTATCTGTAGTTAATGTGACTGAATTTCTGCTGTCTCCCTGACTCACGTTAATCACGTGACTGACCACGAGGGGAGCTGACAAGAAAAGTGAAGCAGCCATTAGCTTTGTAACTAGTCACATGCTTTATTTAAGACAGAAAATGGAAGTTTTTATAATTCCCTTAGACAGCAAGATTAAGAAGCATTTTTTTTTGGAATATAACCTTCCTTCTCTATGTACTCATTCAACTTCTTCCCTTAAACTTGATTTTGACTTTTGAAGAGGCTTATTTATTTTACGTTTAAAAACCATTTATGCAACAATATGTAGATGGGATTTGGAAACCTTTACTAGATCTGAATAATAATAAAAATTTAAAGAACAGCAACAGTGAAACAAGTATTTTGAGACCAGTATAAATATGTATGTATAAAACAAGCTGAATACTTGAAAATAAACAAAAAAATACAACCAAGAAAACTTACTCTTTTACGTGTAAGAAATTGTATATTTACATACATTTTGCTCTAGCCTTGTTTTACTTTATGAATAGGTCTTTGATTAGAATTCTAATCTCCCATTACCCCACTGCCGTCGAGCCAATTCAGACTCATAGCGACCCTAGAGTATAGTATTAATAGAATAACATTTATATTGAAGTTTGATATTTTAAACAAAATATTTTAAAGCAGAAAGGCACTTCAGGAAGAGTTTTATGCCCTTGTTTTACAGATAAAGAAATAAAATGATATACCCAAAGTCACACAGCTACTAAGCGATAGAACCAAGACTTGAACACGTGTATGCTGACTGACCATGTTCAGCTTGTTCCACTATATTATGCTCTTTTACTCCTATAAATTTCATCTGGTCAAAAAAAATATTTATATTCTGACCTATAAAACTGAAAGATTATGTTAGCAGCACTATTAATGAGTTTGTTGTTCTATTTATTTGGAATGAAAGCATTTTAGTAATATGAAGAGGAGACATAAGATTGAGGGGTGAATTTATTGATTTCTTGGGGAGAGTGCTGAAATAATTAAATCCTGTTAATGTTCACAGGTACCAGATTTTGTATAATTTACTTGAAATTTCTCCCTTTAGTAAAGGTGGGTAAGAGGAATGGGGTCTGGTCAGTTACTTTAAGCTTAAGTCAGGAAATAGTTATTAATCTATTTGGAGATACTGAATGTTCTAAATGAATATACCATAGCTCAATGGAAGATTCTGGTTTGGCTATTAACTAATTTATTATCCCATGTGTAAACTATACCTTTGGAAGTAATAAAACTATGGCTATACTATGGATATAATACTACGGCATCATTACAATGGAACTCTACCCCTGGTAAGTCTATTTTTTCCTCAGTATTAATGGGGCAATAAGATAGCATCTGATAAATGTTACTGTGAATTACTTATTTCTTAAAAGTGTTTAAGTTATCCAAGTAGAAGCAACAATTGAAGATTGTGCTATTTTTGCTTCAGTTTCTTCTTTCCAAAAGAGCAAACATTGTTTTGCATCTTCCTGGATTTTTTCCTTTTCAATTCATCAAGTCTTTATTATTAATCTATTATGTGTCAGGGACTCTGCTAGGTGCTAGGAGTAGAAATATGAGTAACATCTACAGGCGGCTTAAAATTTTAATTAAAATCAGTGGAAGCAAGCACATGTTGAAGATACTCTAAGATATTAACTGTATCCAAAAAGTCGCTAAAGAAGCAGACTCAGTTACAAATATTACCTTGTTCCTCTGGAAAGAACATATGGTTGTTATGCCTGAGAAGAGGGGTATTTTAAGAATATGTTTTATAAAATAACTTTGATGCCAGGCATAACTTAAACTTCATCAGCATTAAGGTTTAGATAACAGCCATCTAAATAGGATACAGAATAGGTGAGAAAGTTGCCAAAGACAAATTTCATTTTACTCCAAATTTGTTTTGGGTTATCTTTGGTTATTCATCAAATCATAGTGCATTTTAGCATGGTACCATTTTCTATCAATTATGACCACAGATGGTATACTTTTACTTTCAAACAAAAGACAAAAAGCAAAGAATAAACTGAGTATATGCAAAGTCTTAGCGTCTGAAGGTAATAAAGATGAGCAAAATCCATGAGACTTTAAAAAGAAACACAAAAATACATTTTTTTTTTTTGCCCTGAATTCTTAAATTGGGCACTTCTAATAGGGATAGATAAAAACAAGCAAAGATAATTATTCTCTTCTTTACCCAGGACAAGAGCATTCACAAGAGTTGAAACAAGAGACAAATGTCCTTTGGTTTATGATAGTTTCATAAGAAAACATAAGCTTCATTTAGTTATTTAATAATTTAAGAGGTCAGTTTTTTCTGTCAACTAAAATAATTAAGGAATCATAGCATCACCTATATACATCTAGGAAAAAAAAAATTCTTACTATTAAAAATGCTTTAAACAGGTCCCTAATGTTTACATACCCAAATAATTTGTTACTAAAGCTTCACAAGGAATATCATTTTATTACTGTAATCACAAAATCATAATTTCTGTACAGGAATGTATAAGTGAACATTAATCAATGCATTGATAATTCACTTCATAAGGATCAGACAAACACTACAGGAACATACTGTAAAGAAAAAAAATATTGTAAAATTTTCTGGCCTTGCAGTGCACTTTTTAGTGCAAGTATTTAAGACACAATAGTGTTCAATTCAGCAAAGTACTGCAGAATGTCATGCCACAGTCCACTTAATTCAAAGAGGGTCAGGACATGCAGCTTGTAATAAAATGTCAGAGTATATATATATAAAACCACATTTAATTCATAAAATATATAGTGGTTTATTTAGATGGTTTTAAATGTTTTCACTGTGAAATTCAGCATAATTAGAACAAACATTCAAGGTCTTAACAGGAATCATCTTCTTGCTAGGCAATGGCTTTGGCTTCAGGTAGAAATGCCTCCCAGTATTTTATCAGCTGTGGATGATAATAAAAATATAAGACATCTTCATTACCTTTTTGTCACTTACATGTATGTATGCTGCATGGTATTTTAAAAAATCTATACAAATAGCTAACAATGATTAACATTTACTAATGTCTGGTTTTTAAAGGGATCATTGCAAGTTCTTTATCTGAAGTCGGTCAATAAAATTTATGTAAGAAGTATTTAAAACATTAATGACTCCTGGCTGGTATCAGTTTTTGATGTACATAATAAGCACAAAAGAAACATCAACTTCAGTTTTTTAAAATTTATGCACAATTGTATATAGAAACAGTTCATCACCATGTATTAAGTAAGATTACCTGAAATAATACAACTGTGATGACCTATTCTAACATAAAGCGATAACATCTTCTAAGTCAGAAAATATTCACATTTTATGTTACTGCTGGCCTTGAATGGGGAAAATAGAAAATACTGGGCAAGAAAGGGAAAAGGAACTGGAAAGAATTAACTGCTAGTCTCCCTTGAATAGTCCAGAGAATAGACTTAAAGCATAAACCAAGGTTATGTGTAAAACAATTCCTTTCAAAACAAGCCTGTATGACTTATTTTCATATTTAAAAAATCTAACTTTACGAACCAAGCATTTAAATAAAAACTAAATATAATTTGAAGACATAATGTCATCACCTAATTAAAAAATACAATCTATTATATTTTACATGAACAAGTTTTTAGATGCATATATTTTAAAACTGGAAGACATTTAATGATTATTTAAGACATTAATTTGATAAATTACTCAAATTTATGTTAAAAAATACAGGGAAAAAAAACCCTCTACTATTATCTTGTTACAGACTTTTCTTTAATGTAACATTAGAACTCATGGTCTTCTCTAGTTAAGGAGACAAATGCCTCTTGTGGCTTGGCCAAAGCCCAAATACAACCACTACCAACCCCAAAGAAAATAAAACAATACAAATTTTTTTTAAACTTAAAAGTATTTTAAGTTTTATGTATATGGAAGAGAAGAACTTGCAGTAAGAATTTACTCAATCAGGTCTCATCAACAAGGAAATAAAACTAGAAAAGTAGAGAAAGGAAAAATTTGTCCAGGAGGTTTCTCACAGCTGAAAATTGGGAAAAATTTATCTGTCTAGTGTTTAGAAGTGGTAGAGGCAAAAAGGACCTGGGATAGTTTTCAACTACTTTGACTACTGTTTTCTTCTTTGCTGTCACTGGCCTCCTCTATTCCATTTCTTATTCTTGTTCGAGTTTAAAAGCACATTTCATTACTCATCTTCTTAAAAACAAAAAAGTATACCAAAAGTGAATTCTAGAAGTCTGTAAGTTATACAAAATTAGCTTACCTGTTGTTGTGTTTGTACTAATGATTCTAAGTACTTGATAATAACAGTTTTAAAATCTTTCACTCGTTCCTTCTGTTAAATAAAGTACAACATATGAAAACATGTCCATTAGTAGAAAACTAGATTCAATTTTATCCCAAAATTGCCACAAAATATGACCATGTCGTTAAGAATTAAGTGCAAAAACAATTATACATGCCTCAAATCTTCCCACTTCTTTTCGAATCGTTTTAGAGATCTGTTCAAAATCTCTTTCTCCTTGTTGTACTTTGGCCTCCCACTAATAAAAACAAACAAAAATGCACAAATATTTCATTCTTGTATGGAAAAAAATTCTAATACTAGCTGTCGGGACTAATTATTTCTAGTAAAATTTAACATGTCTGAAAACCCTGAGAAAGCTCAATGTTAACAAAGTCCAATTTAGCATCACCGGAACTTTTATCTAACTTTCTAGTGGTAGAAATGGGTGTCAACTTGGTAATTCCTATTAACAGTTCACTGCCATATTTACTCAAGATTAGAATATTTTAGAACTTGATGAACTACGATGTCCATAGCTTAATTAAATGTAAATCAGATAGAGGAAAATATACTGAGCATAAAATTCATTACCAAGTAATTTAGTCTAGTTACAGTGTAAATTTTCTCATTTCTTTTTACATCATTAATTATTTAAGACTATATCAGCAATATTGTGTTAATTTCAAGAATATATGTCCATCACAATTTATATGCTCATGGAAATACTTTAAATTAGGAAAATTATATGACAAATATTTTAAAAACATTTTTGTAATGGCAAAATAACCACATTAATTAAAACAAAAATTGTGGAATTATGGTCTACTAAACACCTATTGGTAAACATTAAATTCAGTACAGAAACAATAAAATATTGTGATTAGTGACCAATGGAACAGCTAAAATAAAATAACTGAAGATTTAAGCAATGAAAATGATATTTTCCCACTATGTAACCAAAACACTGGTACATACTCTTCAAAGAGCAGGTACATTTATTTTTAGTAACATAAAGGTTATCCTACCTCTTCAATTTCCTTATTGAAGCATGGCAAAAAAAGTGTATAAATTATAATAAACTTATACAAATTTAAAATACCATATATAAGACATATATATGGGGGATAATGTTGCCTGGACAGCTAAATGTGGGATAAGGCTATCTCTAAAACCATTTTTAGACACAAAATAAGTAATCATCTGAAATCAAAGTAACTATCTCAAATGAAATGTGTAACTATTAAGACAAAGGTTAATTTCAGATCTTTTTCTTGTATGCTGCTTCGTCCATTACATAATCACATGGAGGTCACAAAGGACTCTGGAAACTTCAATGATGATAAAAATGTTAAAGTAATTCTAACACAGTCATAAAAATATGGAAAAATAGCTAAGTGTTGAATGGTTCAGAAAAAAATTTATGAAAAATTATGCATATATGAAATGACTCATGAAAAACTTGAGTAAAGTGATAAAGTATTTAATGTTAATCACCTCTCTTATTTCATTCTTAGCTTGCTGTATTTTATCTGGTTTGTTAGCAACCATCATTTTTGCCTCAGTTTCACGTTTTTTGAGCAAAGTAATTTGAGCATCTTCCCATTTCTGCCAGCACTTCATTCGATGGTCAAAGACACCCTATAAGTGAATAATATAATGCTATTACATAAAAGTAAAAACACTGTGAAATACTTTCATAATGCTAGGAGTGCTGTAATATTGAAAACATGAAACCAAACATTTAAATGCTATTCTAACACACCAACATATCAAATATAAGCATGTCAATATAAAAATCAATTCTTTATACTTGGATGAAAATGAGAGTTCAGAATAAAAAAAATAACTATAAACAAAATCCATTTCACTTCCCTTTAGAGTTTTAAATGTGGTTTATAGTAAGATCTCTAAGAGATTTTTATGCTTTGAAAAAAAGATTAACAGAAAAATGCTGGTGTCATATCTACACTGGAAGATTTCCTACTAAACAATATCAAAGCAGATCTGAGTGTTAAAAATATGTTGGAAATGAGAAAAGAAAATGAGAAGACTCATAACAGGAAGTAAAGTTAAGTAAAAAATGTGATGGAAGAGAAGAAATTACCAATAGCAAATAAAGGAAAGGAGAAGGAATTAAAAAACAAAGTTATAACAAAATGTAAAATGAAGACAGTCCTACACACCAGGAAAATGGTAAGAAGAATATAGATATCCAGTATGCAGAACTAAATGAAGAAATAGACCAAAAAAACTGTTACTGAACAAGTCACAAAATCTACTACTTCTCTCAAATGATCTGGCAGAGCAAGACTAAGTGAATGGAGGCAGGAAATGAAATATGGACATAAGAATAATTAGAAGTCTCATGAAAGAACTGATGGATAAGATGGGAGAATCCAATGATAATTCCTTTCCTACTTTGACTTTGGGGATATATTAATACTATTTTAGTATTTACTAATCAAACAAATGAAACTTGTTAATAAATCAGGTGAAACAGAAAACATGAAACCGTAAAACAATTTTAAATTATTCCAAATAAAACGCTTTGAGGATCAAGTAGCAGTAAATACATGTTTCTAGAAGGACCCTCTAAAGAGAAAAATATGTAGGTAGTGTATTTTAAGAAAGAATGCAGGCTTTGGAACAAATCAAATTTGGATTCTAATACTAGTTTTGTTACTGTATGATATTGGGTAAATTCATTAAATTTCTCTAAGCCATAGTTTCCCCATATGTAAACAGGGAGAAATGATACTTAACTTTGTGGATTAGAAATAACATGAAACGTATGTAGCACAGATGATTTAACCTAGTGGATGCTGGATGACACAAGTGGTTTGTGACTGTGTAATACATGGGGTTGCCAAGAATTGAGGGTCCAACTCGAAGGCAGGCAACAACAAACATTATAGATTATTTCTAAATACCATACATACATAAATTTAGTTGATTAATTCTAGATTTCTACTAAAATATAATAATTTTGTTATATGAAAGAAATAACTGTAAGTGGACCACATACAGCATATTTCCAAAATGTAGAACTAAATGAACAAATAGACCAAAAAAAACCCAATCATTAAAAAACCCAATCAACCAGAAACCAAAGTATTTTTTTTTACCAGAGAGGTCTCAATGGTTGCGGACATTTTAAATTAAAAAATGTTCTCTTGATGAGTTCTATGAAATTTGAAAGACTATATAATTTATAATCTATTCCATTTTTATACTGATAATACTTTTTCTTTATACTGCTCCCCAAATCCTTTAAAACTCAATCTCTAGAGAAACAGGGCTATATCAGCTCTTAATTTGTAAACTCTGTTCAGTAACAATTTGATTATTTAAAACATATACCAATAAAGGGCAAAATGCCCTTTAATTTCAATATTTGTTTAAGTTCTTCTTAGTATGTATCAGCTGATTGTTCATTAATATGCTGAATGTAAATTAATTTGGTCCCTGCACAATTTATTATCTCACAATATTCCAGAACCATCTCATATTTATTCTGTACAGATATAGGCGGTATGGTAAGGGTGACACTACTAAGTTAGGTTATTTAAAAAAATATATTTATTCTACACGAATCAACTTTTTCTTAATTTTATGACCCCTGCAACACAGACACAGGGAAAAAAAGGTATCAGAACAGTACTTAAACTCCTAACAAGGCTATCTTAAGTAAATCAAAACTTCGTTTCCCTTTATGTGAAGATGCTAATCCACTCTAGTAGAACCAACCTCTTCAGTAAGAGAGAGGTTTACACTGATCACCCACTTAGGTCCTCCCTCCCCTGCCTAAAAACGTTTGTATACAAGCTGCTCTAAGTCAGACGAAGTTGCAGTTACGGAAGTTTTCCTAGTCCACCAGGAAATTTAACCCTGTAACTTTAATTTAATTAATACCATATTCTAATTCAGTGAATCTGAAACTATACTGCCCAGCTTCTTGGGATTTTGAAGGGGATGCTACAATATTTACGGCCAAACAATGAAACTGGTAAACTCCTTGAGGAACCCATTTGCTGATTTAAAAAAAAAAAAAATTGATATATTTTATAAATTGGGATTCCAGGTAGAATTCTTGTATGAAGAGTTCTAGTGCTAAAAAGAGGAGCCTTGGGCCGCGATGGTTAAGCACTCAGCTGCTAACTGAAAGGTTGGTGGTTCAAACTCACTCAGCGGCTTTGTAGGGGAAAGACCTGGCAATCTGCTTCTGTAAAGATTACAGCCTAGGAAACCCTATGGGATAGTTCTACTCTGTCCTACAGGGTAGCTATGAGTCAGAATCCAGGCACACAAAACAAATGCTAAAAACACTGAAAACCACTGTACACAATGACTGACACTCCTCTAGCGGTTCACAGAAGCCCATTACGTAAGTAAGAAAGCATGTAAAGCGTTTACCACTCAACAGGTATTAGCTAACAGTACTAGCCAGAGGTCACATATTGTGAAAAAGAGGAAACAGGAGTTTTCTGGATACAAGCCCATGTTTAGGCACTATTTTGAAATGGGTTACATTTATCTCTTTCTTCTGGGCCCTAATTTCTGATGTTCTTAGAGCCCTACTTTGGCTCTATACTCTAACCCCTAAAGTACTCCAAGTTTCAAAATTATCATCAGGGAAGTATTCTCTATAGGAATAAACAAAATGCTCATTAGTATTAAACAGTTATTTAGAAATAGGTAAGATAAAAACACAGAAGAAAGCTGGGCAAAGGAGATAAACAGTTCACTCATAGAAAAAGATGCAAATGGCTTATCATTTTTAAAGGTGCCTGATGCTTAAATCCACATTAATTAAGGATATAAAACTTACAAAAATATCTTCATCATTGTTTGGGAGAAGAAGGAACTCATATGTTAATAGGAGTATAAAGAAGTAGGATCACTTTAGGCAGTAATTTAGCAATATTTATTGGAATTTAAAATGCCTATACCCTTTGGCCAGCAATTCTACTTCTATGACTTCTATGCTCAAAGACTTATTGAAATACTGGATATTCTTTAAGATTAGATTGGTTAAATAATTCAAGGCATATATATATATATATATACACACACACACACACACATACACACACATATATATACACACACACACTATATGATGGAAGAAAAAGAAAATTAGTTTCATATACATGAATAATTCTATAAAGACATACAAGGAAGTTAATAATACTTGACTAAGGGAAGACAGACTAGAGGTCTTAAGTAGAAGGAAAATTTACTTTTTTGGGCTATTAGATTATCATGTGCATGTATTACTCTTTCAATAACAAATGAATTAGTTTAAAACAAGGAATCCTGGTGGGACAATGATTAAGCACTCAGATGTTAACCAAAAAGTTGGCAGTTCGAACCCACCCAGCGGCTCTGTGGGAGAAAGACCTGGTGATCTGCTTCTGTAAAGGTTACAGCCTGCAAAACTCGATGGGGCAGTTCTGGTCTGTCACATGAGGTCACTATAAGTTGAAAATTGACTTGATGGCATCTAACAACAACAGTTTAAAACAAAGAACAAAACAAAAACCTCACAAATAATTACTTATTACCCACTTCCATAATTTCTCAACTCCTTTGTACAGTTGACCTGGGCTAGATTTCAGCAGAAAACCCATCTGAAAGAGTTGATTTACCTCAAGTTATGACTTGACCATAGCTCTTTTAATTCTCTTTTAGTCAATGAATCACTAATTCAGCATTTCCCAAAGTGTGTCCCATAAATGTAAACAGACATTAGTGGAAAAGGATTCCTATTCATATGAATTTGGGTGCCTCTGAATTAAACAGTTAAATGACTTAACTTTTTTTTTAACCCCTAGACAACTGAACATTCTCAATATCTAAGACAGCGATTATATATATTATTTTGCAAACTTAGCTGCCTGTGGTACATCTTTTGGTGCCAGTGTTCTATAAAGAAAGAACATGTCAGGAAACAGGGATATAACTGTAGTAGCAGGCAATGTAAAAATACAGTGAAAAGATTTGGACAATATGAGGGAAGCTGTTTTTGAGGAACCCACATCCATTACACAGGCAGGCCATCCCTGCCAGGCAGTTTCTTCCCAGGTTAGCAATTCTCAGCAGATACTCCTTCCCATAAACACTTCCCAGCTTCCCTTTTAAACTTACAGGTTTTTAAAAAGTGTCATAGTTTTTCAAGACAGCTCTTACACTTGTGGGAGCTCTGGAATGAGGTAAGAGTAGGTAGGGTAGAAACAGGAATCATCATCTGTAAGCTGGATTTCAGAATATCACAAGTTACCTGTACACAATGAAGTATATTCTGGTAGCTATTATCTTTATTACCATCTTTAAATAACTGAAAAGAAAAATTAACCACCAGAGAAATATAAAAAGTAAAAAGGAATGTAAGAGTATATACAAGCAAAACTGGTAAATTTACCAAACCTAAGAAAGCACCATTCTTTAGTGATAACTGTCACCATTAGCATGAAAGTAGAATTAACAACAAATATGCACTGTATTGATGTTCTGATTGCAGGTGAATACTACTTTGATCACAGACTTTAGCTGAAAAATTTTGTATAAGAAATCAAGGAACAAGCTCTCATTACTTTACAAATGTTTGAATTCAAGGTGAAAGGTTAGATACCCAGTTTCCCTCCACCCCATGATAATGAATATTTAAAAAATTATCTGAAGACACAGTAGAAATGTGATAGATTAAATATACTCAGTTCAGTTTAACTGTCTGGATACTGGCAGTATCTGTAGAATACGAATTTTCATTAGATAACAGAATTACTTTCTCAATTAGTCAGAAACTGAAGACTGTTTGGGGTTAAGTATTAGCATAACACAATTTATAAATCTAATCTAGTCCTATCTTATCAATAAGTACATGGTATAACACAGAATGTTTGATTACAGTCCAAATCCATGCTAAAGTGACCACTAAAACATAGTCGCTACAACAATTAGCTCTGGTTTGGTCCTGCTTCTTGTTACAAAGTCAGCATTCATTATTAATGACAACATAGTCCAGTGGGTAGTTTCAGTTAGTGCTAGAATGAGTGAACAAATGCTGTTTGTTGCAAACTTTTATATGCAAATATGTAGGTAAATGTGTAATATTTTCCATCTTTTTTGGCATTCCTTAGACATCTTAAAACACCAATTCTATCTATTGTACTGTCCAAGTCCTAGGGGAAGAAATATTAAACTATTAATATTCATCTTGAAGCCATTTTAAATGTGGTAGCACAGTATGGAATTTACACACTTAAATACATGCCTAACAGGAAACTAAATTCTTCCTAATGCAAACCATTGTAGTGAGAAGAAAGACTGCAAAATAGAGCTTACTTTCACTGCAGCAATAAGACGAATGTAGTCACTAAGTAGTTCTGAGAACATATAGAAGTCAGCAAAAGCTTGTTCTTGATGTAACTGGTCTATTTTCTCCTCAACCTCAGCAAGCTGTGACAAAGCTCTAGATAAAGCAGTATGATCCTCAGAATTACCTAACATGGCAGCACTTTTAGCAAAGGCAGCTGTGTTGGCTGAAAGTTCTGAAATAAAGAAGTATTTATTTTTAGTGTTCATTAGTAAAGTTAAAAAAAAAAAGCACTGATTTTCTACTTTCTAAATTTTATCTATTCACAAATTGTTCAAACAATATTTTAAAATAACTAGTATTTTAAAATAATAACCGTAACATAACCGTAACTGCAAGCACTCAAGAGATCTACCAAAAATTATGAAGAACCACTGCCTATTTTCCCAGGGGCAGAATTATGCTTAAATAATTTAGAGTAATAATCTGCCTCCCTCTTCTCTCCCAAAGTCCTTATTCTTTTCTCTGTCCATTCATAAAAAAAAACAAGAAATGTATTTTTAATTATGGAAAGAACTAGGAAGACTAAATTAATTTATACCACATACTTTGGTCTTTAAACATGTGTCAACGAAGATGATGGCTGTAGTTCTTAATGACAAAATTATTTAGCTACCAGGAGAAAAAAAAGGTAAAATTGTACATACAATTCTAATAAATCTTATTCTTTTTACTTTGTTGTACAACAATGTTCAGTAGAGTATTAAAATTTCAAAAAACATTTTTGGACAAAACCATTTCAGATATTTTGAACAAAAAAAACATATATTTACAGACTAACTACTGTCAATGACTAACAACTACATTGCCTGGGAGTTGCTCTACATTTTGTAAAGTTCTTGAAAAGAACCATAAAGTCCATTCCCTAAGAGATATAACACATATGCCAAAGCTGTTAAAAAATACTTTTAATAGTAAATGCATTAGGAGGTTTCTGTAATTATTTTAATAAAATGCATTGCTAATAATAGCACATATCAAATTATTTATTAAATATTTTAGAAAGCTGACATTAAAAGCCTAACTTGTATTCTTTGAAGAAAAAGAAAGGATGAAACCACCATGGTTTAATAAAATTACAACTCAAAATTTCTATGAACTTAAATAAGCCCAGATTTTCAAATATTCCCCTGTTGAAAAATAAAGAGAAAATACTTCAAAGGATTTTCCATGAAATATGGAAATATATGAAATATATGAAATATAGATATTTTCAACACAATCTTCAAATATCAGTTTTAAAATCTCAAATTTTTAATTATAATCAAAGTTACTAATAAGATATCTTCATTCATTAAACTGTAAATACATTTAACAAAGAGTTAACCAAGTGAACAACAGTTTTAATTCAAAGTTCAAGATATACTTTTACAAGCTCAGGATTCTTCTACTTCTAAACTGGAAGCTAGGTTAAAATAGAACAAAAAAATTCAAATAAAGTTGAAATAGAAAAACATTCTCTTAATCTACTGTTTTCACTCTTCTATAACAACCTCAGAATATTCTTTTTAATACAACTTAAATGAAATATTTTAATTAGCTTTATGGAGCAAAAAACACAGAAATAACAAGGCAAACAAACCTTTTCTATGACAGACCAGAGCTTCAACACTGGCGTGAAGTTTCCTAAGTTGCTGATCAAGATTCTCAAATTGCTGCTGCTTTTCTTCAAACCACTAAGAAAAAAAATGAAAAATGGAGCCAATTTAGCAAGAGCAAACCACTTGAAATTAGGTTACCAATAGCGAGCTACGCTCCTTGTTTTAAAACAACAAATTAACCACGTATAACCACGGTAGTCAACTGATGTGGTTGGGAACTAAACTCAATAAGCAAATTAATATCCTATTTTCTACTTGTACAGCTTTAAAATGCAATTGTTGGGCTCATTAATTCATCTCATTATTCAAGTCGAAAAATCAGTTCTTACTGCATCCGATTCATTCATCTTGATTGTCATTTTGTTGACAGCGTTGGCAGCCTTGTTCACCATCCTCAATATTCCTGCTCCACTCAGAGCCTGTGTATTAACTGCTCTAGGCAGCTGGAATTGAATGACAAATAAGGGCAAACAAACCGGTTAAAAGCCTAGAGGTTTAACTGGGCACAAAAGGGACCCTTCTCCCCAGGAAAAAAAAAAGAAGAAAGAAAAAGAGGTTGTATTTTCTTCACTCTCATACATTTCAATAGTGGGACCTAATTTCTCAAATACACTACTTGTACATTCTCAAAGGAAAACTTAAAAAATAAGACTTTCCATTTGCTTCTCTTCTGCACGTTTACATTTAGATGGAGCAAACACCCTGTTGTCAAAATATATTAAGAAATTGCCAAGCACCTTAACACTGACCACCTGTTTGCTAGCAGAAATAAACTGTTTATAAGAAAAGAAGAAGGAAATTTTGAGAAAAATCTCTTTATCCTGTTAGGATTGTATGGTTCTGAGTACTTTTAAAATTCTCAGATTCAAATAATAAAATAAATGTATATAGTAGCAATTAGAACTCTAAATGTGCCAAACATCTCCAATATAAAGAGCAGCACTGTTGTAAGTTAATTTAGGCTCTTTCAAGTCACAAAACCTTAATAACGATATTAGAATGTAGATACAGAAACATACACCCAACTACCTCTAAAATGGAGATCTGAATAGCTTATTTCAACACAATACCTAAGCAACAACTTAGGGTATTCAAAGTTAGACTACTTATAAACCATTCTCTTAATCTTCTTTTAAATTTTCAAGGAAGAGGCTGATCATTCTGCAAGTATCAGTGCAAATATATTTTGCTAGTAATTTAATTAAGTCATTATTAAGTCCTAATTTTAAAAAAAAGGTTCATTAATTACTTGCTGAACATGTAAACTTATACAAATTATTACACTGATGAAAATGAGAAAATATACATGTAGAAATAATACCTCAGAACTTTCCAAGAACTGCCTTAAATCAGGATCCTGTAGCAAAGTTGGATGTTTTACTGTTCGTTGAAGATATCTAGATTTAGGAATAAAATTGGTTCTTTACTTATCAGTAGCATTTTATGTTAAATCTTACTGCAACAGAATAAGAAACTAGGTAAAAAGTACCTTAGCTTACCTACTATCAGTCTGCCTTCACTCTATTTAGAATTTTATAGCAATTTGATAATTAAAAGGCTTTTTGTCCATCTTTTGAAAACTAATGTTACCCCAACTGGTTTGTTTGTTTCACAATTGTATAAAAAAATAGATGCTGGGGTGGGGTAAGGGCACGGGAACGGTTAAATAAAGTGCTCATTGCAGTGTTAGAGTTATAAAAAGGTGTATGAGCTTGCTGAATAATTTTATCTTTGAGTGGAATCAATACGTTTCCAGTTCTTACTTCAGCATCCTAAGATACATATAACTATATATTCCAGTTAACTTTTTTCATTGTTATTGTTACAAAAATGGGATGGGGGGAACCTACCAATTTTTTTGCATGTCAGCAGATTTAAATTATCACCACCAGCTTTGGTCTTTATTTGATAAGGACTAAATTTTCTTCAACATTTTTAGCCTTAATAAATGTATTCCTTACCAAAATAATGCACCACATAAAATACAAATGAAAAAGTAAAGGAAAACACCACTATAAAATCACTATTCGCCTAACTTCAGTCATTTTCCTTTACTAGAAAAGCTCAGATTTCTGTCATCCATAATAAATAATCAGTCATCCTTTCATAAAAAAGAAAAAAAGCTAACTATTAGATGATTTTTTTTTTAGAGGTAAATATGATTTTTTTATTGTTGTAATTAAATAAAGTTTACATTTCAAGTTAGCCTCCCATACAAACTTTTTTTTTTAACATACATTGTTATGAGACCCTAACTGCTCACCCCATTCTGCGACAGCACACTCCTCCCCTCCGCCCTTGATTCCCCATGAAAATTCAACCAGCTCCTAACTCTCTCTGCCTTCCCATCTCACCTCTGGACAGAAGCTGCCCCTTTGGTCTCTTGTATCTACTTGACTAAGAGGCACATTCTTCACGAGTATCACTTTCTGTCCCACAGTCCAGTTCAATCCCTGTCTGAAGAGTTGGCCTCACAAATTGTTTTAGTTTCGGGATGATAGAGAGTCCAGGGGCCATGCCTTCTGGGGTGCCTCCAGTCTGAGTCAGACCATTAAGTCTGGTCTTCTTACTAGAATTTGAGTTCTGCATTCCACTGTTCTACTGCTCCATCAGGGACCCTCTGTTGTGTTCCCTGTCAGGACGTTCAATGGTGGTAGCCAGGCACCATCTAGTTCTTCTGTTCTCAGGCTGATGAAGTCTCTGGTTTATGTGGCCCATTCTGTCTCTTGGGGCTAATACTTTCCTTGTGTCTTTGGTGTTCTTCATTCTCCTTTACTCCAACTGGCTGGGACCAACTGATGCATCTTAGATGGCCGCTTGCAAGCTTTTAAGACCCCAGATGCCACTCACCAAAGTAGGATAAGAACATTTTCTTAATAAGCTTTGTTATGCCAATTGACCTAGATGTCCCCTGAAAGCATGGTCCACAGACCCCCCAGATCCCTGCTACTCTGTCTCTCAAAGTATTTGACTGTATTGAGGCAACTTCTTAGCTTTGGTTTAGTCCAGTTGTGCTGGCTTCCCCTATAGTGTGTGCTGTCCTTCCCTTCACCTAGGATGATTATCTACTATATTAGATGATTCTTGATTACTTATCTAATCCCAGTTTAAAAAATGCTATCTTTTGCTAGGTTAATGATTATATACAGTAATATTTCAATTATGTTAGTTCACCTCACAGTTAATATATATTTATTCTCTTTCTCTAGAATAAATGTAGTAATTTCTTCTATCTTTTTACAAGGTAGGCTTCAAAAATGCCTAAAATGTAAACATATCAGATATGCCTAACATTAATAAAGTTTCTGAAAAACAGTGATGATCTTCTCTAAAGTCGAATTCTATACACTGATCAAAATGACTATTTTATCGATGTTTAAATGTTAACTTCTGTTCTTCCATACTTAAATAAAATACATACTATATTAAGCTTCATTTTAAGTCAGCAGCCCATGTAAGACACCATTATAATAGAAATTGATCATTTAACAGGTATGTGCAATACAGTCTACATTGTGGTTTAAAAGAATATTTGCTACGGATGATTACATGATTAATGTAACTGATATCACTAAAGTGTACACCTGAAAAATGCTGAATTGGCAAATGTGTTACACATATTTTTACACAATAAAAAAAAATTATTGCCTATATTATCAAAGCAAAAAAAGAGATGCAACAGGAACACTAATCCTGCAAGTTTAAGAAATGCTGGTATTTTCCCAGTGGAATTTTACTTACAACTTTAACACTGAAATTCTCCCAATACTATTAGGTAAATTACTGAGTTGCTTAGATTGCTACTGCTAAGACATTTTGCATGACTTGTTCATCTCATTGCACATAATAGCTAGTAAACAGCAGGCACTCAGTTATTGGTAAGATAAACAAGAAGGAATGAATACATAACATCTGGACCCAACCTATCACTTGTATTCTAAAACAACTTTCCAAAGTGAGCGCTGCAGAATACTGCAGAATACTAGTCTTATGCAATACTCCTGAAAAAAGACTGGCTCTATACTCAAAAAAGTTTGAAATATACTACATACATATCCCCTTTCTTCAAGACTTATAATGCACAGCAGCATACCACATATTAGTATCCTGATGAATCAATTTTGGGAAATGATGTTTAGAAAACAAAAGTAAAACTTTCCTTTCTCTTAAGAGTTACAGTGAAGTAGAAAGCGACCATTAAAAAAAAAAAAAAGTATTAAGCTTATATAATCTTAAAGTTAAGAACAGAAACATTAAATGGATTTTAAAATAATGAATATTTATAAATATATACCAATTGAGAATTAAGGTCAGAGAGGGTGGTAGATATATAAAGGAAAGATACAGAACAAAAACAGGAAAAGAATGTAGGAAGAAGAAAAGACGTATGGGGAGAAATAGAAATACAGAAGGCAGAAAGATACAATGGAATTGATGAAAAGTAAGTATTCGACTCAACAAGAGGTGGTCAATAGCTGTTCTTCAGCTTCGCTCTTAAGAAAGGTTACTGATAAATTTAGTCACTTGGGGCTTTCAAGTTCCTATCTACGTACCTAAAATACAACAAAACAAAGCAGGTTATATAAAATGCTTGAAAGCAACAAAGTTAAACATAGTTATCTTGCTTGCAACTGACACATGTGATAACAACGACCAATTAGAAAAGCACAAAGAGCCTGGGTCTTTGATATTAATTTGTTCATTCAACAAGTATTTATTGAGCACTTACTAGGTTTCAGGTACTGTTCTGTGTACCTGGAATACATCAGTGAACAAAAATGACCAAGATCCCTTCTCTTGTGGAGCTTACATTTTAGTAAGAGAAGGCAGACAATAAACTTTAAAAATAATAAACATATAAATTATACAGTGTGTGATAAGCTGAGAAGTGCTGTGGAAAAGAAGGAAGGATAGAACAGTAGGATAAGTGTGAGGTGTGGTTGGTGGCAACTCAAACAGTCCGATAGGTCAGAATAAAAACCCACTGCCACTAAGTTGATTCAGACTCATAGCGACCCTATAAGACAGAGTAGAACTGCCTCATAGGGTTTCCAAGGAGCGGCTGGTGGATTCAAACTGCTGACCTTCTGGTTAGCAGCCGAGCTCTTAACCACGCCACCAGGCCAGAATACAAAAAAGAAACAAACCAAACCAAACCTGTGGCCATCTAATTGATTCTGACTTACAGCAACTCTACAGGTCAGAATAGGCATCACTAAAAAGGTGATATTTGAACATTTGAACTTGAAAGACGTAAGAGAGTTAACCATGCAGATACCTGGGAACAAAGAATTCTAAGCAGAAGGAACGGCCAAAAAAAAGAATGTTAAGGCAGGAAGGAACATGCCTGGGATGTTTGAGGAGAAGGCAGAAGGTCAGTGTGCCTAGAGCAGAGTGATCTAGGAAGATATGAGATCAAACATGTATCAGAGGTCGGTGATGCAGGTCATGTAAGGTCTTGTAGGTCATTATAAGGACTTTTGGCTTTTATTCTGAGTAAAATGGGGAGTGATATGATCTGACTACTGTTTTAAAAGATCACTCTGGCTGCTAAGTCAAAAATTGAGCAAAGGTGCATGATGGAAGAAGGGACACTTAGGAGGCTACTACAGTTAATTAAGGCATTGGGACTAGGGTAGTCAGTAGATGGTGAGAAATGGTTGCATTCCAGGTATCAAGAAGCAACAGGATTTCCTAATAATTAGATAGTTCAGAAAGGCTGTCTACCTCCAAACTTCTTGAGATGAAAGAGTTGGTGAATTTATCTACATTATCTGTTTAGGCCTTGTCAGTTGGGCTTTTAGGTGCCTGAAATGAACATAACCTTAACTGATACACTTCAATTTTAGAGATAAGGAAGAATGCCCTGATGTTAAGTAACTTACCAAAGGTCACGCAGATAGTGTGTAGTGGAGTGAGGCTTGAACAGAACTGATTCTAAATCTTGTACTCCTGTACATTGTATTATCATGTGACACTGAATTTCTCAGCTTATATTTACAGAAGTGTATCCTTACCCATAAAATAACCTCAACATGACCTTAAGGTAAGATGTGAAGCACTCTAAAGAAAATCAAACAAGTGACCTTAGCGATACTCAACAGAGGTAGTCTCTGCTTACTTTACTGAGTGTGGCACAGGAGAGCACTTGAGTACTTAAATACTCCCTCTCTTCCTAGGTTTTAATACCAGATGTTTATCCTTTCTGTTCAAGATAGTCATCTGGATTCTCTAAGTTGAACAAATAAATACGTAAATGATTACCACAGTATTGATAAAGTAATACAAACAGAAACACTTTCCTGACTGACCAGATCTGATCAGTTTGGGTACCCAGCAAGTACTGCATGTCTACACTAATGTTTAAATTTTTAGAAACATCACAGGAAAACCACTTTAGAAAAGTCTGCTATAGAAAAGGTTAAGGAAAATGCAATTTTAAAATCTTATACAGATTCAAAAATAAATGTGCAAGGGAACTAATTAAAAGTGGCTGGGACAGGAGAATTAGGATTAGAGTCAAATTACAGAAATCATTCCAGTTCCTTTGCTTGTATGCTTTTTCTTTAGTCATTTTTTCTAGTGCAAAAATGAACATTTCCTCAAACTGTTCTTTTTTCACTACTGCAAATTCCACTAAGGTAGCATCTAACAAGTAACATTTATCTGTAAAGAAACTGTCTTCACACACTAGTCGAGTTTCAGTATTTCCTTAAAACTTTCTTCAATGTTTCATATTGCATAAAGATATGGTTAAATAAACCCACTGGCGTCAAGTCAATTCCAACTCGTAGTGACCTTATAGGACAGAGGAGAACTGCTCCACAGGGTTTCCAAGGAGTGGCTGGTGGATTCAAACGGCCAACCTTCTGGTTAGCAGCTGATCTTTTAACCATTGTGCCACCAGAGTTCCTTAGTACCATAAAATGCAGTCAACTCAGAAGAAAGGTGAATGAAGAATCAAATTATATGTCCTTGGTACAATAAATCTTCATTAAGTTGCTTATCAAGCATGCCATCTGAAATAGTTCAAATTTACTCATAGAAAAATAGGACTTGAAAGGTCTCTCAAAAGGTCATGTTTACACTTTGAGAAAGGACTAAGTAAAATCAAGGCACATGATTATCTACCTTTATTCTTAAAAATATTGTCTATGGCCTCTCTCAGAACAGAATCAATTCTAATGCCTAACCTAAACTTCTTTTGATGCAATTTAAATTCTTCTCCAGAGTAACTGCTGATTTTTACACATCCATAATCCCATCTCTTAAGTCTTCTATAATTTTAGATTTTAAACTACACATTCCTTTGCTTTTTAACTGCAACTTGTTCAAAACTGACTTTACTGTGGCATTTTCTTAAAATTTACATAATTTACCATTATAAACCAGAAATTGTCTTAAAAATTGTTTTTAAAAATAATTTACACCCCAGAGATATATATACCATCCCCTAAAATCTGTCCTACCCACCTCAATCACCATTTTTAAGCCAAGAATCAAAACAAAACAAAACCTATGAAATTAAGAAAATGTTTCAAACCTAGTAATTCCCAACTTACGAACAGACTATGTTCTAAAAGCTGGGCTTTAAAATAGTTTCAAATTTTGTTTTCTCACATTTTTAGCTTAGCAAGGAAGAAGTAAATGTTAAGATTCTGGGAATGGAATTCCCCCCATCGACTTCCCTTCTAGCCTGCCACAATGAAGGCAAGTCTTTAAAGGTACAGGGGATGTGTAAAGTCAAGTACTCTAAGAGAAGTAGAGTGTATATTTTAGCCTAAGTATACAGTTAATCAACTGAAGCAATGACTAATACTTCTGTATACTCTGGACAAAATGAATTATACAGAAATAAGGAAGGGGGCAAAACCCACATTTTTCACGGTATTTAATGATGTTCTTACTAATATTTCAAAAGAAAAAATTTAGATGAACTATAATTAATCAAATTATCCAACACAGTACATGGATAAGGTATAACTTCCTAAGAAACTAAATAATGAAGAGGTATTTTTTTATAACTAGTCCCTGGATGGCACAAACGGTTAAGTGCTCAGCTGCTAACCAAAAGGCTAACTAAAAGGTTGGTGGTTCAAGTCTACCCAGAGGTGCTTTGAAAGAAAGGGCTGTGATTTACTTCCAAAAAATCTGCCATTAAAAACCCTATGGGGCACAGTTCTACCCTGACTCACATAGGGTCACCATGAGTCGGAACCAACTCAATGGCAACTGGCTATTATTGGTTATTTTTATCAACCCTTTCCCCCCTTTACAACATTCATGCTTTCCTTTCACACATCTGGTAATTTCTTACTTCTCTTGCTAACTACAGCTATGACGTAGTAACTCTATTCCCAAATAGTTCATGACCTTATATTCTTGCTTGTACTGTATGATACAAAAATAGGTGCTATTTTGTTACAGAGATGATTAACGAGAATAAAAACATATCAAGTATACAGCAGGGTGTTGTTGAAAGAAGCAAATTTCTTTATAAGTCTAAGGCATTCTTAGGAAGAGCCAACAAGTGGTACTTTGAAAAAAATTAATCATTAAAATTTAGTTATGTCATATAATTAGATTTACATTACTGAAGTAAAAACATAAAAGTAGTAAAGTATATTTGTCTAGAATTACCTTTCAAGAGCTGCTCTCCGTTTTTCTACAAATTCAGTGGATGATGAATCTTCTTTACCCACTTTGACCTTGGTCATGCCTTTGAAAAAATTGAATGAGACCCATAATTGTTTCTGTATAACTTAAAATAACTTTAAACTTGACAAAAACAAAAACTCCTAAATTTGTAACCAGTATCTTAAGTCATTAAAACTCATATGATATGCTAACATCTCTACTTGGTAAATGCTTACAAAGGAACAGATAAAGCTGTGTTTGTAGTTTTCTAACACGTAACTGTTCCTTTATGTAAAAGTATAAACCAAAAACCAAACCCACTGCCATCAAATCAATTTTGGCTCATAGCGACCCTACAGGACAGAGGAGAACTGCCCCATGTGGTTTCCTAGGCTGTAATCTTTACGGAATCAGACTGCCACATCTTTCTCCCTCCAAGTGGGTGGCAGATTCAAACCTTTTGGTTACTGAGCGCTTAATCATTTCTTATCTATTGTATATTTCACTCTTGGTAAATTAAAATGTGTCTGCACTGCAATATGCATCCTGGAATTTCAAATCAGTGTTCAAGCTCAATTTATATTTTCATTTCTTATGAGCAATAATTAAGGTTTTCTTTTACCATAGGGACTAGAAAAACAAAAATAAGTATAACCCATGGATTTGCTTAATGTTTTCCCTACTGCAGATTCTAAGAACATGTTCTTGTTAACTTATCCTAACTGATCTTATTATAGTTAAAATAACCGGCTCTTCCGCAGACATTTAGAACACAATTTTAAATTTAAAAATACAAAGATCATGTTAATCATTTCTGTATTGGCAATTTCAATATTAATACTAATATATGAGACTGTAGTTTTTTTTTTCCTGTTCTTTTTCCTTTCAAAAGTAAATTCTGAAGAAAGGAACTACTGATACATACTACAACATGAAACAACCTTTAAAACATGCTGAAAGAAGCTTGTCACAAAGGGTTGCATATGATCCATGATATATGACTCCTTTAATATACAAAATGTCCAAAACAGGTAAATCTAAAGACAGAAAGTAGAAGAGTGGTTGCCTAGGACTAGGACGTATGGAGAGATTGGGGAGGGGAGGGCTGATGGCTAAGGGGTTGTTATGGAATGAATTGTGTGCCCCCAAAAACGTGTATCAACTTGGCTAGGCCATGGTTCCCCGTATTGTATGGTTGTCCACCTTTTTGTGATCTGAATATCCTGTGTTGTAAATCCTAACCTCTATGATGTTAATGTGGCAAGATTAGGTTATGTTAAAGAGGATTAGGGTGGGATGCAACACCCTTACTCAGGTCACAGCCCTGATCCTTTGCAAAGGGACTTTCCCTGGGGTGTGGCCTGCATCACCTTCTATCTCACAAGAGATAAAAGGAGAAGCAAGCAGAGAGAGGGGACCTCATACCACCAAGAAAGAAGTGCCAGGAGAGGAGCACTCCTTTGGACTCCGCGTCTCTGCACTGAAACGCTCCTAGACCAGGGGAAGATTGATGACAGGGACCTAATCCAGAACCGACACAGAGAGAAAGCATTTCCTGAAGCTGGCGCCCTGAATTCAGACTTCTAAACTGTGAGAGAATAAATTTGTTTGTTAAAGCCATCCACTTATGGTATTTCTCTTATAAAAAATAAATAAATAAATAAAAACAACCCAAACCCACTGCCATGGAGTCAATTCTGACTCATAGTGACCCTAAAGGACAAAGGGGAATTGCCCCATAGGATTTCCAAGGAGCGACTGGCAGATTTGAACTGTCAACCTTTTGGTTAGCAGCTGAGCTCTTAACCACAGCACCACCAGGGCTCAGCACCAGATAACTAAGACAGGGGCACTGGGTTTCTTTTGGGGGCAATGAAAATGTTCTAAAATTGATTGTGGTAATGGATGCACAACTCTGTGAATATAATAAAAGTTGCTGTACAATTTAAACGGGAAATTGTATAGCATATGAATTATATTTCAATAAAGCTGTTTAAAAAATGGATATGTACAGCAAATGTAAAACTATGCAATTATTCTTCAGGTTGGTACATTTAGTCAATAATTAACATATACCACCAATTAACATTTTGGTAAACATAATTTCATTGAAAATACAATGGTTTGAAAAGGAAAATCCAGACACCTAAAATTACCTCCTCTGATTAGACTACTAGAATTAGTAAGGTTAATTATTCCACATATTCTGCTTCCCTGAAATCATCTTAATCACTGTATAGTTCTTTCCTTCTTTTGTCTTCACTGAAGTCAAGGGTCTTCTCCTGGAGGTAACTGTTATGGGCCATTGTGAAAAAAAATAATAACTTACCCTAACCAGTTTATTGTTACAACTTTTCACCTCTGTTGTTGCTCTTTTCTAATAGTTTACAGGCATACCTCATTTAATTGCACTTTAATTGCACTTCACAGATACTACATTTTTTACAAATTGAAGATTTGCGGCAACCCTGCGTCGAGCAAGTCTATTGGCACCATTTTTCCAACAGCATGTGCTCACTTTGTCTCTCTGTCACATTTTGGTAATTCTTGCAATATTTCAAACTTCTTCATTATTATCATATCTGTTATGGTGATCTGTGATCAGTGATCTTTGACGTTACTATTTTAATTGTTTTAGGCGCCCTGAATCGTGCCCAGATAAGACAAACTTAATAAATGTGTGTGTTTTGATTGCTTCACCATCTGGTGTTCCTCCGTCTCCTCAGGCCTCCCTATTCCCTGAGACATGACAATATTGAAATGAGGCCAATTAATAACCCTACAATGACTTCTTCTAAGAGTTCAAGTGAAAGGAAAAGTCTAAGTCTCTCAATTTAAATAAAAAACTAGAAATGATTAAGCTTAGTGAGGAAGGCAAAGGAAAAGTTCTTGAAGGAAATTATAAGTGCTACTCCAGTAAACACACGATTGCTAAGAAAGAGAAACAGCCTTTTTGCTGATATGGAGAAAGTGTTAGTTGTCTGGATAGATCAAACCAGCTACAACATTCCCTTAAGCCAAAGCCTAATCTAGAGCAAGGCTCTCTCTTCAATTCTGTGGGGCTGAGAGAGGTGAGGAAGTGGCAGAAGAAAAGTCTGAAGCTAGCAGAGGTTGGTTCATGAGGTTTAAGGAAAGAAGAAGCTGTCTCCATAACCTAACAGTGCAAAGTGAAGTAGCAAGTGCTGATGCAGAAGCTTCAGCAAGTTATCCAGAAGATCTAGATGAGATAACTGATGAAGCTGGCTGCATTAAACAACAGATTTTCAATGTAGATGAAACAGCCTTATATTGGAAGAAGATGCCATCTAGGACTTTCATAGCTAGAGAGGAGTAGTCAATGCCTGGCTTCAAAGCTTCAAAGGACAGGCTGACTCTCTTGTTAGGGGCTAATACAGCTGGTGACTTTAAGTTGAAGCCAATGCTCATTGACCATTCGAAAATACTAGTGCCCTTAAGAATTATGCTAAATCTACTCTGCCTGTGCTCTATAAACGGATCAACAAAGCCTGGATGACAGCACATCTGTTTACAACATGGTTTACTGAATATTTTAAGCCAATGTTGAGACCTACTGCTCAGAAAAAAGATTCCTTTCAAAATGTTACTGCTCATTGACAATGCACCTGGTCACCCAAGAGCTCTGATAGAGATGTACAAGGAGATTAATGTTGTTTTCATGCCTGCTAACACAACATCCCTTCTGCAGCCCATGGATTGAGGAGTAATTTCGACTTTCAACTCTTATTCTTCAAGAAATACATTTCATAAGGCTACAGCTGCCATAGATAATGATTCCTCTGATGGATCTTGGCAAAGTAAATTGAAAACCTTCTGGAAAGGATTCGCCGTTCTAGATGCCATTAAGAACATTTGTGATTCATGGGAGGAGGTCAAAATAGCAATATTAACAGGAGTTTGGAAGAAGCAGATTCCAACCCTCATGGATGACTTTGAGGGGTTCAAGACTTCAGGGGAGGAAGTAACTGTACATGTGGTAGAAACAGCAAGAGAACTAGAATTAAAAGTAGAGTCTGAAGATGTGAATAAATTGCTGCAATCTCATGATAAAATTATAATGGATGAGGCGTTGCTTCTTACGGATGAGCAAAGAAAGTGATTTCTTGAGATGGAATCTCAATCTTACTGGTGAAAATGCTGTGAACACTGTTGAAATGACAACAAAGGACTTAGAATATTACATAAACTTAGTTGATAAACCAAGGGCAGGGTTTGAGAGGACTGACTCCAATTTTGAAAGAAGTTCTACTGTGGATCAAATGCTGTCAAACAGCATTACATGCTACAGAAAAATCTTTAGGGAAAGAGAGAATCAATCAATGCGGCAGACTCCATTGCTGTCTTGTTTTAAGAAACTGCCACATTAGCCATTAGAGAAATGCAAATCAAAACTACAATGAGATACCACCTCACCCCAACAAGGCTAGCATTAATCCAAGAAACACAAAATAATAAATGTTGGAGAGGTTGTGGAGAGACTGGAACACTTATACACTGTTGGTGGGAACGTAAAATGGTACAACCACTTCGGAAATCCATTTGGCGCTTCCTGAAAAAGCTAGAAATAGAAGTACCATACAATCCAGTAATCCCGCTCCTTGGAATATATCCTAGAGAAATAAGAGCCATCACACGAATAGATACATGCACACCCATGTTCATTGCAGCACTGTTCATAATATCAAAAAGTTGGAAACAACCTACGTGCCCATCAACGAATGAAAAAATTTGTGTGACCCATTTTATTGCGGTAGTCTGGAATGGAACCTACATCATCTCTGAGGTATGCTTGTACATGCAATTTGTTGTTGTTGGTAAGTGCCATCACGTTGGTTCTCACTCACAGCGACCCTACAGGACAGAGAACAACCGCCCCATAGGGTTTCCTAGGAGCAGCCGGTGGATTTGAACTGCTGACCTTTTGGTTTGCAGCCGAGGTCTTAACCACTAGGCCATCAGGGCTCCTAGACATGGATGTCTCTATAATCAACCAAAGCCCTATGAAGGTGGCAACAGTTATGTGCTTCTGAAAAGAGTCCTCTTCCTTTAGTGGGAAGTTATAGCTTCCCAGCAAGGAGAAAAAGTAACTACTGTTATTCCACCACCCCACTGTAAGTGCTTATTACTTGAAAACCACTAAGTCTTTAAAAGGGACTCTCACCTTTTAAATTCTTTGTAGAAATGTATTCATTTTTACTTTAAAATTTTTACGAACATAACTAAATAGCAGGTTAGGTCAAAAAGCGAAGAATGTCACCCTTGAGTACTGTGCTCTTTAAAAAAATTATCTATATAGGACCAAACGGACATCAGTTACTCTAAAGCATGGATGAAAAGGTGGGGGTGGGAGGAGGCAGTGAGATTAAGTTAATGGGAGTAGAACAACTAGAATGGAAATAATGAGAATGTTGACACAATGTGAAGAATGTAACCAATGTCAATGAACATTATTTGTAGAAACTGTTGAATGGGAACCTGTTTTGCTGTGTATACTTTCACCAAAAATATAGTAAAATATTTTTTAAAAATTTTATGAACAATATGTAATTTATAAGTGATTGCTTCTGTCACTGGTTGGCTACCAGGGGGTTCAAAGATCAATTTGTTACCCACGTTTAATAACTGTTCAAGATGTTATGGCACATATTTTGAGGAACTTTGCATTACTTAGAACTTCATCTTACTATCTTACCACACTTTTACATATACATATTTACTTTTATACTATACATATTTTCAAGTTGTCTCAAATTCTTTTTGGCGTAAGTATATAAACAAACAATTTTAAAACAATTCAAATGTATATTGACATACAATTCTACAACAATATAGCATTAGATTTTTAAAAATTGAAAAGTTTTCTATTTTAAGTAAAAAATAAAAGCAAACCTTGATCATATTAAAATAATCATCCCAAAATTAGGAGGGAGATTAGAATGATGTTAATATTAGTAGGGTAAGATAGCCTGCAGTCAAAACTCAACTCTGCCACTCAGTAGCTATAATACTTGGGACATGTTACATAACTTCCATGAACCTTAGTTTCCTTACCTATTAAGTAAGAACAATGATAAATTAACCTCACAAAGTTGTTGGGAGGATTGATTGAGAGAATGCAGGTAAAGTACGCAGCATACTGCCATAGCACAGTAAGCACTCGATGAATGTTAGTTATTCCTATAACTTAACTGACAGTCTTATAATTGGCTACCTGGTCATATATCTGGATAATACGAACATGATTGTGTCACTGTCTCTTACTAACCTATGAAGGCTATCAGAATCAGTTAAGAGAGATGCTACACTTAGGATTTAGTTTCTTACTTCAATTTTAAATTTACATATGCTATGTACTATATTGCAATAATCTGTCAAAGGTTTAAGACTAGGACAAAAAATTAGATGGAAACAATGAACTTGGGCATCAGAATCTAGCTCTTACTAAGTCTTTTTTGGTCAGTGTGTAACAACTAGACTAGCATGTGTCTAGCCACCAAAATGAGAATAATAGTTTGTTGTTTTTGCTCTTTCAGTAAATAAAAATAAACGTACAATATAAAGTCACAGAAAAAGATAAACAAAAGGATAAAAAAAAATAAGCAGAAGGGTAAGGTCCCTACATAGAAGGTAGAATGCGGAAGGATATCTATACAATACTTTAGAAGACTATGAGCTAGACTGGCAGTTTTCAAACTGTGGTCCAGGATACATGAGGGTCATTTTCATAACAATACCCATTCCCGGTTGATTCTGACTCCTAGGGACTCTACAGGACAGAGGAGAACTGCCCCCTAGGGTTCCTAAGAAGCAGCTGGTTAGCAGCCAAGCTCTTAACCACTGTGCCACTAGGGCTCCTTCATAACAATACTATTATTTGTCTTTTTTTAACTCTCATTCTCTCATGAGTGTTACGTGGAATTTTAGAAAGGTTATACAATGTGTTATATCACAACAGACTGAGTGCTGAAGTAGACAGGAGAATACAGCTATCTCCTATTAAACCAGAAATTAAAGAGATTTGCAAGATTTTAAAGAAAAAAAAAGCCACTTTTATCATTAAATTTTTTGTTTCACAAAAACTATTTTCTTTTACAAAAAATGTTATTTAAAGAATATACAGGCATCCCGAGACCAAAAAGTCTGAGAACTACTCAACAAGATTCTGAATTAAGAAAAGAGAAAGAATGTAACAAATTTACCGAAATAACGTCAGGTTTCAAAAATCACAAAAGGTACCGATAAAACTGCTTTTTAAACCAAATGTTTAAAAAGTAAAAATTTATTTTAAACATGTTTCCAGAATAATACTCTTAAGTACAAAGAAAAATAAAGTAAGGTAAAATTAAAAACCCATGACTGGAAAAAAAAAAAAAAAACCCTACGAAATTGTTAAGAGATGATAAATACCTTTTAATGCTTTTCCTCTAATTTCCTGCATTTTCTCAACTAAGCTATTATTGTACAAGTAGAAATTTTTTTTAAATTTAAATTGAGTTAAGAAATAAACTAAGATGAGTTCAAAACAGATCTTGTATTAGTGAGGCTAGACCAAATCTTCTCTTTTGGATGATGTGTAACTAAGGGCCAAACATCTCCATCCTTTAGAAAAATGTATTATATTAAGTATCCTCTAAGCATGACTCAAGAGCCCTGGTGGCGCAATGGTTAAGCAACTGGCTGCTGACAGGAAAGTTGTCAGTTTGAACCCACCTGGTGGCTCCGAGGGAGAAAAGACCTGGTGATCCGCTCCTATAAGGATTAAATCCTAGAAACCTTATGGGCAGTTCTACCCTATCCTCTGGGGTTGCTATAAGTCAGAATTGATTCAACAGCCTACAACAAGAAGTATGACTCAGTAAAATGGTACTCTAATGAGCCTAAATGGTGAAGGTTTCTGGTTGTTTTCAATTTGGCAAATTTTGATCCAATATTTAACATCACTATATTAGATATATAAAAATCTTCAGGGGTTAGAAAATAAAACTATTAGCTATATACTCTTCAATCAATGAATGATTATCATAAATGGAATATTTCAATTCAGTATCTCCCTTAGATTTTATCAGAGGCTATGACAGTGAATGATTATGGAATCCACAAATCTATATGGTTAAAACTGAACTAATAACAGTAACAAAAATTAATTTTTTTAGATTCATGCTTACCTACTATACTCTTTTCTGGAGCTGGTGGCACAATATAACCAATATGTAAATACTTGCTTGCTAATTTGCTATGCAAGCCAAGAAAGTCACTGAATCTTCTTTTAACTGAAAATTCACTCTTACTGAACATGGAAAGGGAAGTCTATGAGTGAAGAAGAGGTATTTCAAATTTTGATTATTAAGCAATTATTTAGAAGTTAATATCATACCTAACTGAACACACACTAGTCTGCTTTGCAAAAGAATGCAGAGTAGCTAACTAATGTACACAGATTTCTAACAATTAAAAAAATAAAACTTAATCATATATATATTTTTTTTTTACAAAAACTTAAGAGGATATAAAATATCTGCTGTATTCTATCCTTGACTCATATCATTCACTTGTATTCATAGTAATGATTCTTAATTCCCAGATGTCTTCTGAGCTTTACTCCTATATATCCAAATGCCTCCACTTAAATCTCACTGACATCTCAAACTCAACATATTTTCTCCTACTCTAACATAACACTCAGATAACGGCACTTGTCTATTATGTACTACTATATTCCTGTGTTGGGAACAGGGCCTGACCCCATGGTAGATGTTTAATAAGTATCTGTTAGATGAATTGATGAATCTCATGCCCATCTGTACTGTTTTCTCTTGTATTGACTGCCTCTCTGCACGGCACTCCCACAGCCACGCAGTTCCTCTAGTCAGTAACCTAGGCATACCCCTCGTTCCTCACCCCTTACATCCAAGTCCCACTGATTCCACCTCCTAAATAACTCAAGAAGCCATTTATTTCGCTCAGCCCCAGAACCATTTCCTTAAATTATTACTTCTCACAGCAATGACTGCTACAACAGACCCTCTCTCTTATTAAGGTTCAAAGGACTACAAGCCTTTAATAATTCCAACGGCATAACTAGAAACCCTGACTTCTACTTTGACCCTCCCAGTTCATACCAAGGCTGGAGAAATCATTCTAAAACAAAAATCTAATCGTGCCACACTTGTGTTTGAAACTCCTTAATGGCTCTCCATTATGTTACAGATGAAGCTCCAACTCCTTAACATGGCTGTTCATGATACAGGGAGGCTTACTGCCAACACTTCTATCATACATTACTTGCAGATCCTGGAAAGCACAATGGTTTCTTGACTTCTGGCTTTCACATCAGCAAATAAGGCTCACCTTTGTTGTTACTCTGTATGCCATGTAAGCATTCATGCCATCACCTATAAGCAAAGTCAAACATTATTAAAAATCACGAGTTTAAAAATAAAAAGTACCATTTTAATACTATAATGATGCATTCAGTAAAGAAAAACAACATCAATTATCAAAAAAGAACAAATGTAAAAAATAATTCGTAAATATTAACTCACCGACTTTCTCTGGATCTGATACACCAATTTCTATATCAAAAATATCTCCATTTGCTTCTTCTTCAATCTAGAAGAGGTAATTTTTTTTTTTGTATTAAAGAAAATACTCTAACTTATGTTACAGTTGTAACACTAATAACTGCAACTTCTACCATCTATCTTCTATGAGGGTCATATCACATCAAGTAACTGAAAAAGGCACTCAGCACTCCATTTCTGAAAAACAATAAAAGCTTTCCCATTTTCTGACTACGTTAAAAAAAAAACAGCACAAAGACAGTAGAAAAAGGATTATCTGTAGAAGTAACGGAGATTCTTGTGTTTACAACTCCTCAGATACAGGAAAAAAGTGTTAGTTTTCTTTTTGAACATTGTGGATTTTTTAATTCTATATACTGAATCTCCAGATTCAGATTATTGAAATAATTAACTCCTTAATTATTTTAAATATTACTTTTCAAAGTTGTATCTCTTCTCTTTAATAACCAGGAAGCAGCCATCACTTTTTACCAGTAGAATCCTAGATACCTACAGAAATTACATATTATACTTAAATCAACCTTAACACAACGATTTAGCTAACCTACCTAATAAACACATTTTCTTCCAAGCCAACTGAAGTACTATAAAGCTCACTGAAAAGAACAGTAAATGGGAAAAGATAATCCTGAGACTACACAGAAGTACCTTTTAACGCTTATAAACAAGCAATCCAAATAGCAGCTCTGTAAGAAACCTTTGTTATTCCCAAGAAGAAACCTCAGACTGTTAAATCTTGCAAGTTTTTTAAAGGAATATTAATAGCCTAAGACTGTCTAAGGAAAAGTGAATTTTTCTAACCATAATTCGTTTAATGGATTCCCTCTTGCACAGATTTTTAAAAAGTCTTACTGAATTGCTACATGCATACAGAGAAGTATATAAATGAGCTTGATAAATTTTCACAAAGTGAGCATATCTGCTGAACCAGAACCTATATCAAGAAATAAACACCATCATTACCCCAGAAGGCCCTCTCTTGCGTCTCCTCCAGCCACAACCCATTCTCCAACCCACCAATGTAACTGCTAACTTGATTCTGTTGTTATTCTGTGCCACAGAGTTGATTCCAACACATAGTGACCCTTTAGGACAAAGTAGATGCCCCCTAGGGTTTCCAAGGCTGTAATCTTTATGGGAGCAGATCATCAGGTCTTTTCCCCTACAGAGGAGCTGGTAGGTTTGACCCACCAACCTTTTGGTTAGCAGCTGAGCACTTAACCATTGCACTACCAGGATTCCTTATCCCGACTTCTAACACTTTACATTAGTTTTACATGTTTTTAAAGTTCATATAATGGAATTATACGGTAAGTACTCTTTTATGTCTGACTTCTTTCCTTTTAAAGAAAATATCCTCTGATTATCCCTTGTGTTTTAGTTTTGGTTTTTTAAACCATGGTTATTTTAATGATCTATTCCTATACAAGTGCCTTTTAAACATATAATTTTGCCATTTACTATAATTTCCATACCATGAATTCACATTATTAAAAATTGCTTCCAAGTATAAACCCCAAAAATTGAAAGCAGGGACTGAGATTATCTGTATATCAATGTTCACTGCAGCCTATTCACAGAGCCAAAAAGTGGAAACCACCTAAATGTCCATCAACAGGTAAACGAATAAGCAAAATGTGGTATATACATATAATGGAATATTATTCAGCCATAAAGAAAAATAAAGTTCTTATACATGCTACAATACGGATGAACCTTGAAAACATGCTGAGTGAAATAAGTCAAACACCAAAGGACAAATATTGTATGACCCCACTTATATTAACTACGTAGAACAGGCAAATGCGTAGAGACAGAAAGTAGATTAGTGGTTACCAGGGGTGGGCAAGGGAGGAATGGGGAGTTGTTACTCGATGGGTGCTCGGTTTCTTTTCGGGATGATGAAAAAGTTCTAGAAATAAACAGTGGTGATGACTGCACAACACTGTGTATATAATTAATGTCACTGAGTTGTACACTTAAAAATGGTTAAAATGACAAACTTTATATTATATATTTTACCATAATAAAAAGAATAGATAACAACCTTTACATATTTTATCAGATAAAATCACTCAAAATACCACTTCATTGTGGTTAACAGTTTTCAAAGCACTTTCATACATCATCTTATTTGCTCATCATATGAACACAGAGAGATACACATTATCACTGTACAACAACAAATGACAAACTCCTTGATTTAAAAAGGAGTGATACACCCAAGGTCACTGGGTTGAAGAGTGGTGGAGATAAAATTAGAAGCCAACTCCTTTAGTTCAATGTTCTTTTCTCAAAATATCTAAAAGGCTTTAATTAGGAATAACTTTAATTAGGAGGGGATGTTGCAAAGGAAACAAATGACTTGTTACTTACATATTAATTTAGAGTAAAAACATTATCACATACCTCCTCTCTGGATCTATCAAAGATCACAGGAGCAGATATACTCTTTGATTCAGTTCTGGGTGCAATGAGTGTGGTAGGAGTGACAGGGGTGACTGCAGGAGAAGGTTCTGAAGAGAGGATAGGTTCCCTTTCTGGACTGTCCAGAGAAACTTCTTCCGTGGCTTCTAGATATAAATTAAACAAGTTAGTTAAGGATACTGGTGGCAAATTCCCAAAATTCTGTACAGCAGTTAATGAATTATGAAAAATACTTTGTATACTACCCACAAATATATAAAAGAATCCTTACAAAGTAATTTTACGAATACTTCCTTAGTTATTTAACATAACTTTGAAACCAACAGTGACTTTCTTGGTTTTAGGAAGAATTTCATTAAGTCAGCTTAATTATCTATACTACTGATAAGGATAAGGCTAGGAAGAAAGCAATGATGTGGGTATTTCCACATTCATTTGTGTTTGGATTTGTTGTGTATCCTTTACTTATGGTGACTTACCTTCCAAATGATTATTTTATACAGATGAACACAAATTTTATGGCAGAAGGCCGTCCAGAATTATCCCAACTGGGATTAAAAATCTGTTATGGATAATCCACAAAGTTAGTAATCTAAAGCGATTAACTGCCAAAGATTACTGAATATTACATTGATTATTAGTTGAATAGACTAATATGACACAAAGCAAATATATGTTTAGGTTTTAATTTAAATGCTCTCATTCACTTGAAAAATCAAAATTAAATATATCTGAAATCATACAATAAATTGAGTGTCTACAAGCTATGTAACACTGTGCTAAGTGCAATGGAAACACAAAGAAATGTAAAATATCATACCTGCCCTCGGAGAGCTTATAATCTAGTTGGGAAAACAAGACATAAGCATGTGGAATGTTAAATAATAATAAAAGACTTAAATAATAGCCAGGAAAAATAAAATGAATGTTACAAGATAAGACATTTAACTGCTATATGAACTACAGAAAAAACTACAATTTAAGTTCAGATGGGAGACAATACTTTAGACTGGAGAAAATCAGGAACAGTTTACAAAACTGATTTGAGGAGATTTGGATGGGGTGGGGGATTCGACGAAAATGGAATAACATAAGCAAAAAACAGAGCCAGGAAAGTGAAAATTACAATCAGTGACCAGAATGTACACCACAGTTCTGCTCGTTTGTAGAAGTGATTCCAGGTAAACAAAGGCAGGAATGTAAGGGAAGCAAAGACTCAGACAAGTGGTTTCTAACCAGAGGTTCTTAGGTTCCTAGAGGTTTGGGAAGGTAGTAATGGTAGTCAGTGAGCCATTTTAAAAAATATAGTAATAATGTATTTATCTCAAATAAGGTTGTACAGGTTAACATTTTATCAAGTTATTCTTACTGATTATCTCTTGTTGATGAGAATCCTTACTTAGCACAGATCTCTCGTAGTTTTGTATTTTAAAATAAGAATAATAACCCAAACCCTTCAAACTAATCGAAGGAAGTGAAACAGATTAAAGATGTTGAAAATAGACTTATTTTATTTTTTTAAAGATATGAAACCAACATGAGAAAGGAAAAAACAGCAGTATCTCAAAGCTAGGAGGTATGAGATCTTTAATCTATGGACAATAAGCAGAACAACTAGCATAAAAACAAGCAGCAAACAAACAAACAAAAAAAAACCCAAAGAAAATCTAAAAGAGGACTGTTATTGGCAACAGAGTCACAGACAACTGTAAAAGAGGTAATGACTTTACTGAGGTATCAGTACAGATAAAGTCATTTTAACTTTTCAATCTCATTTTACTTTAATAATACCATGTTTTGTGTTCTTTGCACTGACTCTGACAGGCTAATTCATAAATGGTAGGAGACTTCAAAACCAGAAAAGCTAAATATGATCTAAGTAGCTAATATGGGAGGGAAAACGTAAAATAAGTAGACAGAGAGTTACGTTCCAACTCATAGTGCCCCCGGTGGCACAATGGTTAACCACTCAGCTGCTAAATCAAAAGGTAGGCAGTTTGAACTCACCAGTGGCTCCGCAGGAGAAAAAACTTGGTGATCTGCTGCTGTAAAGATTACAGCCTAGGAAACCCTATGGGGCAGTTCTACTTTGTCCTATAGGGTTGCTATGAGCTTCAACATACTGCTACATAATGTTTGCCTTAAATTCTTCTCAAAGTTTCTTTTAGCATAGGTAAATTAACATAGTGGAATTTACAAGCTTTAATTTAAACCAGACGCAGGGGTTAAAGAAGATACCCTATAAGTACCGTGATTAACTTTTCCTTGGAAAACATACTTTGAGGACAAGCAGAAATTAATTATGTCAATGTCAACTAAGTAACATTTCATTTACATGACAGATGCCAGGGGATTTTTAAAACAAAAGAATATTTATTAAACTTGCAATTGGCATCATTTGCTGAACAACATAAGTGAAATAAGCTAGTTACTATGGCAGAAACAAGTTCTGAAAGTCTAGGACAATTTTATCATTGGCAATTCGTTCACTCCCACTTAGTCCTTCAGGACAGTTTCCTAAAGTATGTACAGTGGAGCACTAGTGCAGGATGTAACAAATGGTGGATGAGAGTGGCTCCATAGTTAATCACATCTGGTGAACACTCTAAGTAAGTAAATCATTTGTCATACTCGAACTTTTTCTGGTATCACTTCTGACATACAGTACTTGGAATGCTACCCAAAACAAATCAGCACATGTACCAATACAGTTTGTTCTTTTTAAGGCTTTAGAATCAAAATGGCTAAGTCACTGAACAATATCTATATTCTATCCTCTGACAGAAGAGAAATAAAATAACCCAAGTACATGTTCTCATTAATGGACAATACTTTTCACCATCCATACTCCTCCACAGAAGCAGGAATGATATACTTGCTAAAATGCCTTATGAAAAACACACACCCCAAAAAACCCACACCTGCTGCTATTGAATCAACTGACTCATAGTGACCCTGTAGAACAGAGAAGAACTGCCCTATAGGGTTTCCAAGGAGCGGCTGGTGGATTTGAACTGCCAATCTGTTGGTTAGCATTCATAGCTCTTAACCACTGCACCACCAGGGCTCCAAAAAAGATACTAGTGTTAATTCAGTTATACAGAAACAATTAGAGTAGGTCTTAGATCACCTGAAGATGTTACTATGAAATGCAACTGAGTTTAAGGTAAACGATAAAGCATAAAAAGTGCTTATGTTTGTAGGTTAACAAAGGACACAGATGGCTGTTTATTAATTTTTAGTCCTTGTCTCTTTTTTATTTTTTAAAAAACAAACACTGACATGGACCACATTTTAATCACAATATTTAGTACAGAATTTCTAGGTAAACTGAAAAACTGAAGATTTTTCTAATTAAGCTAAGTGGGCAAATATTATTGTATACTCTTCACTTGGCTAACTGTATGATCAGCTGTGCACACAGTAAAACAACCCTCTTTCTTTACACACACACACACACACACACACACACACACACACACACACACACAGTTCAGTTGTTAAGAGTAAGGCTTCAGCACACTCATTTATATGGAATTCTTGCTGTGAGGTGAAAGAGTCTTTAATAAAATGGACAATCCCAAACTTCTGTATATGAGCCTATACTATAAGAGGAATACATAACAATTTTAGATGGTACCTGCTTAGTAGAGAAAGAACTTATGTCATCTTTTAGATTAAACACAAATGTCATGAAAAAAAATTTTTTAAGGATTGCCTGGAAAAGAAGTCCACAAAAGGAAACAAAAAAGAACACTATAACTTTGATTAACAGATTTTGACTCTAAGTTGTTAGGTAGCTTAAAAAAGAAAAAGAAAAAAAAAGGAAACATTTAAGGTATTTGGTATCATACTTTTTTTAATTTTCTGACATGATGAAATATATGAATTTATTTGTGGTGGCAACTTTTCATAGAACTAATAAGCAGAAAATTATTATGGAACTTTGTGATGGAGAATTTTATCTTCAAGCATATTTGTATAAAAAATACAGAAATACTATTCAGAAATATAGTTTGAGTACTATAAAAGCCAGTTCAGGTAAGTTAAGATGTTAAATACACAAAGATTTGTAATTTTATTTTTTGTGTCATTAATTCTACAGAAGTATTTGCTTCTTAATATCAAAACACTGTCTCTAAAGTTTAAATCTTAAAGTAGATAACTGTTTTGGAATGTCTGATATACATACATTTTAAAGTTAGGATGGATTATACCAAATCTTTCTCCCTTATCAAAAACAAATTTCTCAAGCATCAGTTTACTCACCTAAAAGTCAATCAAAATAGAACAGGTGGTAAATACTGCAGCGTTTTATTAAAAACAGATTTCAAACATAAAGAGAATATTAATGAAAGTGATTTTTAAATCTACAGTTTAATTTTGCTTTGTGATTTGTTACAGAATACAAAGAATACAATCTCTGCTATTTCTCAAAGAATGTCACAACCATTGTTTTTTGAGTCTAAGCAGTAACAAAAATAATCAAATTATAATGTGTAATTTATTTCCAAATGCCTAAAAGCCTAGAACTAGAAAGGATCACATTTTACGCTCCTCAACAGTCAACATTTTTTATAAAGTGATCTAGTTCGTAATTCCCTATTTTAAGTTACAAGTAGAGCTACCATTAATACTTTATACAAGATTCTAAATTTGCTTTAGAGAATATTTTGTATCTAACAGGATATATACTACAATTGGCTTATTATTCAAACAAAGATGTTCACAATTACCTGCAAAAAGATCTTCTCTGTCATCTTCTAGCACAACTTCTGTGGGTTTTGGACCACTGGAATTTGTACTAATAACTTCTGCAGGAAGACTAGCTGGTTCTGGAGATGACGGGCTTGACTGTTAAAAGAACAATAATGGGTAACAGATTGGCATGTTTGTCTGTTGTAATTATGTCCTTGTACACTACAGAAAAAGAACATTCTCTTGACAAGAAAAGAGGAAAGAACAAGAACAGCTACTTGTATTTCCTACTCTGAGGGCCCACCACCCGTCTTGCAGTTTGTCGTACTGTGATGGCTTGTATGTTGCTATGATGCTAGAAGCTAGGCAACTGGTATTTCAAATACCAGCAGGTTACCCATAGTAGACAGGTTTTAGCAGCGCTTCCAGACTAAGACAGATGAAGAAGAAAGGCCTGGCAATCTACTTCTGAAATTTAGCCAATGAAAACCTTATGGATCACAACAGAACACTGGCCGACTTGCTTGCTTTCAACACGAGATCAGGAGGGATCAATTGCTAAAGAAGTACTCCATGTGTGGTGAAACAGAGAGCCAAGGAGGGAGTGGGAGACCCTCGGTGAGATGGACTGGCACAACAGGCACAACAATAGATTCAAACATGCTGGCGATCATGAGGATGATGCAGGATTGGGCAAGGATTCGTTTTCTTGTACCTAAGGCTGCCATGAGTCAGTCGACCTGATGGCAGCTAATAGCAGGAACAATATCCTCTATGGCATGAGGACATTTCTTCAGAGTTTTCAAAAACAGTTTCAAACTGTTAACCAAAAACTTAAAGAAGACTCTTTCTTTTCTCTCTGGAACTCATTTTTACAGACCCAAACTCTCACAAAGGTGGGCCTCCAATTAACTTAGCAATTTCACTTAAAGGAATTTAAAGAGTAAATAAGCTTATATATTACTTCCTCTGGAAGATATTTCTGAGAGTCTTAAACTCAGTTCTAGCTGAGTCTGCACAGGTGCCTGGCCTAGATGGTCCCACAAAATATCTATTTCTCCTATCATAATTTTTCTTACCATATATAATTATTACCTGTTTATAGACTATAAGTTCTATAAGGAAAGAGGAGTATCTTGTGTACTACTTTTTACTCAATGTCTTGTAGCAAATACTCAATGAGTATTCTGTTAATTGCATTCTAAAAAAATAACTATGGACATGCCAAAGATTTAGCCACAAGTTTGTCAAGCAGATAACATGAAAAGCTGGAAACAACCAGTACATCCGCATAAAAATTTAGAAGAGTGGCATTTATCGACACAGAAAGATGCTTGCTTATAAGCCATTCTGTGAAAAAAGTACATACCTACCACACATGATCCATGTTTTTATAGAAAGGTGTCAATATTCATTAAAAATAAATGTTGTTTTGCATTTCTTCTCCTTACCCTCCTAGAAACTAAGATATACTTGTGTCGGATAAAATATAGCCACTAAGATCTCATATATTACCTATACATTCAACTTCATTTTAAACAAAGGTTCCTATCTCTAAAATCCCAAACGTTTCTCAGGAATCAGAAGCTCAGATTCTAGTTCTGGTCCTACCCTAACCAACTTCTCTATAGTTACATAATGAATCTCCTTGGGTATCAATTTTTTTGTCAATAAAATGAGGGCTGCATCAGCTAATTGCTAATACTCTTTTTACCTATCCAATTTATCATTTTATAATTTCTAAAGCCAGAGTGCTAACTTGATTTCCTTTTGAATTTCCAAAACTTGTTTGACACTGACTTTGAGACAAAAACTAATTTTGAAAGAAATAAAATAGTAAAACATTTTAAATGCAATTTTAAAAACAGTAAACTTCAATTTGTTGCTGTTGATTTAATACTTACATGAATGAGTTTGACTGTTTTGTTAGAGCACCTATGCCATTGCATCAAAGGGAAATTCAGTGAAAACAATTTCACAAGGACCAAAATACAGCCTACATAAACACTGATGATTTGATTAAGTCAAGGGTTGTACTATCTAAAATTAGTCTCTAGCTATGTGGCTACTGAACGTTTGAAATGTGGCTAGTCTATATTGAAATGTGCTATAAATGTAACATATAGACTGAATTTTGAAGACTTAGTAAAAAAAGAGTATCATATTAACAATTTTTATATTGATTAAACACTGAAAGGATATTTTAGATATGCTGAATTAAATATATTACTAAAATTAATTCTACCTATTTCTTTCTACCCTTTTAAATGTGACTACTAAGAATTTAAAATTAAATATGTGGCTCACATTATACTGGACAGAACTATTCCAGAAGTAAATTTTATTGTATTTTAGGAATAAAAGTAGATCTTCTTGAAATTCTCTTATTTCTTTCAACAGATTTTTAATAGCTACTGGGTTTAATTCAAAGGTTTACCCTCTAAAAACCACCTAAATTTCATTATGTGATACGTGACCTGTTAAATACAGATCTATATATGCATTTACAAAGGAGGCCTGGTGGCACAACAGTTAAGAGCACGGCTGCTAACCAAAAGGTCAGAGGTTCAAACCCACCAGCCACTCCAAGAGAGAAAGATGTGACAGTCGGCTTCCATAAAGATTACAGCCTAGGAAACCCTATGGGGCAGTCCTACTCTGTCCCGCAGGGTTGCTATGAGTTGGAATCCATCCAATGGCACAAATTAACAACAACATACATTTACAAACAACTGTGTATAAGAGGCTATAGTGCAAGAGCCAGAAATACATAATGTCAATCTGATCACGAGAAAATAAATCAAAATTGAGGGACATTCTACAAATTAACTGGCCAGTAGCTTTCAAAAGTATCCAAGTCATGAGAGACAAACAAAAAACCCATTACACAGGAAGGAAGAAAAAATACAATGAAATGCAATATGGGATTCTGGATCAGATCCTGGACGAGAAAAAGAATATTAGTGGGAAAACTCGTGAAATCTGAATAAGGTCTATAAATTCGTTAATAGTATTTCATAAATAGTAATATTCTGGTTATGACAAATGCTTTACTGTTGTATAACCTGTTAGCTGGGTAAAGGTATACAAGAACTCAGTATAATATTTTTGTAACTTTTTTCTAAGTCCAAATTCATTTCAAAATGAAAAGCTTAAAAACTTTTAAGTGAACATATAATTGTTTTAAGGTAAAATAAAATAAAATATTTAAGGCATACGCATACACACACACACATACACACACACACAAAATCTGCCATTGAGTCAATTCTGACTCATAGTGACCCTATAGAACAGAGCAGAGCTGCACCACAGGGTTTACAAGGGGCGGCTGGTAGATTCGAACTGCCAACCTTTTGGTTAGCAGCCGCAGCACTTAACTACTACACCACCAGGGTGAACCCCTTTCAGCATGTTGACTATCAGTGCTAAGGCACGAAGCTTCTTCGAGATGCTAAACAAAAAGCAGGACCAGACTATGATATCGAGATTAGTGCCAGCTCTGGGGGTTCAGGCGCTTTAAACATTTTTCGCCGCAAAACGTGAAAGTGAGTTGTGAATCTACGAGTGCTGATGGGAAGGCAGCAGAAGAAATTGTTGAAATATTAGAGAAGTTAATTGTAGAGGGGGGTTAATTTGACCCAGCAAATTTTTAATAACGGATGAAACGTCCTTATTCTGGAATTGAATTCTTGAAAGGATCTTCATCCATAAGGAGGTCAAGACAATGACAGGCTTTAAGGCTTTTAAAGACACAGTGACTGTGTTGTTATGAAGTAATGTTGTACATAATATGGTGCTCACACAATGTCTGTTATGCACTGAATTGTGTCCCCCAAAAAATGTGTGTCAACTTGGCTAGGCCACGATTCCCAGTATTGTGTAGTTGTCCACCATTTTGTGAGCTGATGTGATTTTCCTATGTGTTATAAATCCTACCTCTAGAGGCAGTTATATTAATGAAGTAGAACTGAATCTACAGGATTATGTTGTGTCTTGAGTCAATCTCTTTTGAGATATAAAAGAGAGAAGCGAGCAGAGAGACAGGGGGACCTCCTACCACCAAGAAAGCAGAGCCAGGAGCAGAGTGCATCCTTTGGACCGGAACTCCCTGTGCTGAGAAGCTCCTAGAGCAGGGGAAGATTGATGACAAGGACCTTTCCCTAGAGCCGACACAGAGAGAAAGTATTTCCCTGCAGCTGGCGCCCTGAATTCAGACTTCTATCCTCCTAGACTGGGAGAGAATAAATTTCTCTTTGATAAAGCCATCCACTTGTGGTATTTCTGTTATAGCAGCACTAGATAACTAAGACAACATCCAAATTACACAGTGTCCTATTTCACAGAAGGTATCGTGGACATTAAGCAACGCATGACTGTATGTGTTTTTGTTATTGAACTTTTAAGGTTCTTGAGAGTAGAGACATGGCTTTTCATCTTTGAATCTACAGACCATTACTAGCTGGTATATACTACATAGTGAAGTAAGGTATCATTGTTTATATTTCATAATAAGCTCAAAGAAATTTTATTGTTAAATAAGTTATTTGGTTTATTAGTTAACCTGACTGATGATAAATGAATATTAAGTACGTACTTTAGCTGTGCTATGTAAGGATTAATTGGTGAAGGATGTTATGAATAACAACGAAAGGACAGAGTTTTGGATTACTCAAAGTAGGTTTGTTTTTCTATTGACCATTGTCCCCATATTAGTATTTGGGATTTGACTATGCTTATTTGAAAATGTTTTCTTAACATTCATAAATGAATACTGAAATTTAGACAGTAATATTTAGGTAGAATACTGAAATTTAGTAAATTGCACCTAAGTTGGGGAGGTGAGGAGTAAGAAGTGGAATAAAAGTGTTGTCAGATCGGTTTGGCTTGCTTAGAAAAGGCTTTCTGTAAAATTGAAGTGTTTGGATGTTTGAAGAAAGTAATGGACAGAGAGGAGACAGAATAGTTCAGATGTGTTCATGAACATGAACAAGCCACTCAGGTAGGAATGGCAGTTGTTTAATGGGTGACATATTGTATTGATAAGAGTTTTAGTTGTAAACAACATAAACCAACTTGTTCATTTAAGAGGAAAAAGAATATGTTAGAAAAATGTCAGGGAGCTCATAGAATTGACAAGGAACGTAGAGAATGAG